CCTGCTGAGAGCTGCTTAATAGCTAAGATTTATAAACTGTTAAAAACGGCGTTTTTCACTGGCGTTTTTGATCAATAAGAAGTCATCGGAGACAAGAAAATCGATCGATATGCTACAAACGGAACGGTTAACTGCTCTCTAACTGTATTAATTGTGATATATATTCACTTAAATAAAGATCTCAATGGTGCGCCCAGATCGTCAAATTTAATCGGTACAAATAGTTCACATGCACTTGAAAGAGCCACAGCGAAGTTAAACTGAATGCTTCGAAAGACATTAAGACAATAGAGAAACTTGAGAGACACGGTTGCGCGCTCACGCGGTTTCGTCAGGAAACATGTTAAATATTTTGGGACGCATGGGAATTTGCAAAAACTTACTGTCTTCTGTTTATGAAACTCTGTTGATGTCGTCGAGGAGTTTATCGTTTCCTTTTAAAATTTCTCAATAGAAAATTTATGTTATATATATGTGTGTGTGTGTGTGTGTGTGTGTGTGTGTGTGTGTGTGTGTGTGTGTTCAACTTTTCTTTCATTAATATATCCGTTCCTTTTTTAAATTATTATTTTTTAAAAATAAAAAGATTATTATTTATTTACTTCATTTTTATGCATTCAAATAGAGATATATATTTTATTGTGTAAAATATTCTTTTTATTACATTGCACACAATATCTAAATAGCTTTCTTGTATATCTTGTACATAGCAATATTTAATTATTATGTATATTACGAAATAATATCGTTGCATATACAAAAGTAGATTTATTGTAGGCAAAGGGAATAAGTGAGCTTGTTTTAAAATTCAAGCACAATAGATTTTTTGCTGGAAAATACAGAAAGAGGATTTCGTTTGCTTTCAGATCGAAAACCGCTGAGTTGGGTAAACGTTTGATTAGAGTTCGAGAATACGTTCCACGTTTTGACAGAGAACGCTACACACACTAGGAAATCCCGCTTTTGTCCCTAGAATATTTCCGCTTATTTCTTTATAGCCGGAATCCGCGCTATTTCTTTGGATAGACAGTGCTTATGTCTGCCCGGTCTCTGCAATCGATCACGTTGCGTGTCAAGAATTCCTCGCGAGATTGCACGCGAATGTTCACGGAAGCTGGATCGATCTCGGAAAACGATAGCGGATATTTCCGCGAAAATGCATATGAACGTACGAGGAATTCGCGAGGACAAATCGAATGCAGTAGTACATATTTACTGCACTGTCGCAACGACTGAGTTGCAACGTATTCACGATTTCGTTTGTGCCGTTGCCAACGAGACTCAGAGCGGATGACTGGGATTAAATATTGAGATTGAAAGATCAGATCGTAAAAAAGTCGATATCCAAAAGATAGAATGCTCTATTTTACGTTTTAATTCTCGGATGACAATAGGAAGCTTGACACTTATTTGATTCTATGGAAAAATCAAATTATTTTTTATGCATGCTGTAAGACTAAAAAATTATTGGATTTATATGAGTTTTCATAATGCATGTTGTAATATTTAAATTGTATTTAGCCTTTAAGTGAGTAGGCCACAGGTATAGTTTTTTTAAAACCTTGTTCTAAGAGTACCTAAAAGAAAAATAAAAAGTATTGCCAAGATGCTCAGAAATCTCAAAGTTCGTTATTTTTATATTTTTTTATCCCATAAAGATAACTAATGTAAATTTAGTTATAACATAATATACTAGTAAAAAATATAGCTATAACATTAAAACTTTTTGGAGTATTCTGAACGCTCTACCTATCAACTTACGTATCTTTTTTTAATCCATCTATTTTATACTTAAAAGTTAAGAGGATTGATCATTATTTCTCATCTGGATTTTTATTCAAAAAAAAAAAAGTTTGGAATTTTGATTTTTTAAATAAATGAATATAATAATGTTCGAATTAAGTTCGAGATATTTGTATTAGAGATATATTAGCGATAGATTTCGCCAATGGGAAGAAATGTATCAGAAATTTGAAACGACGTGACGCAGAAATATGACATATAATATTAAAAATTAAAACAAAGCGAGAACGAGGACAATAGTAGGCGATAAATCGGTAAATACAGTGTCTTGCCAGGCGAGCGTATATTTGTAATTATTGCCACTACTGCTGGCAGTAAGTGGAGGCCAGCTCTTGTGGCTCAATTATATCGGATAGCCGCGTTGTCCTCGGCAACAAAAGCAACGCTCCATCGGAGTATCGATATATTGTCAGAGAGGGGCCGATTAAGTGGGCCATTTCCGAGTGCTCGTTGCTCTGTCTATTGTTTCCGAGAGAGGCCCCATTTGCCACTCTCGTCCGCGCGTGCTCGCTGGCCGAGCGTGAGTGAAAACAACAAAAAAAAAAAAAAAGAAACAACAGACGGCCAAATGAATTTTTCAACGGACTGTTACACCGGATTACCTTGGTCAGGCGATCGTTGTTGTTTATACTTTTTGTTGTTGTACTCGATAACAAGGGGTAGATAAACATTTTTGAAACGTTTTATGCCACTAGCTGCAAAATGCAATGAAGAGTTTTGCGGAGCGATAACTGTTTTGTGCGACTCACGATGAGAGCCACGTGAGATTAGTATATTTTATTGGTTATCATAACAATGGCATACTCGTCAGAGTGTCAGGCATTTTAACTCTCTGCAATCTGTGTCTTTTTTGGCTTAAGCGAAATTTTATTCTGAAATTTCTCCTAAAGACGGGCGGATTAAATGAAGATTTTAATATTTTATATTTAATATTTTTAACATTTCAATTAAAAAATTATTTGGTAACAGAGATGCTGGAAAGTAACCCTGAATTTTTTCATATTTTTTTGAATTATTGCCGTAATTGATAGCACAATAGATAAAAAATGCGCTAATAGAGATAGGATTTCATCATTTGAGCAGTAAAAAAATTTGGGTTAAAAAAACATCCAAATTGCAAACGGAGGTAGTAAAAATATGATTGCAGACGGAGAGTTATGACATCAATATCTGCAAAAGATTGTCCCTTATATAGAATTTGCGAAGGCTAATTAACATTATTTGATATTCCTCCGTCATAATCTGATAGCAGAAATCTCTAATACCGTACGTATCAAAATGATGAAAATGATGAAATCCTATCTCTATTAGCACATTTTTTATCTATCATGCTATCAATTACGGCAATCTTCGTTCAACCTTTTAAGCAGCTTTTTCCCTTGCAGGATGAAGCTCGTTCCAAAGAATCTAGACGAGGCTCGCTTTGATAAGGCTCATTAAATGAGAGTACATAAAAAGTACTTTGAGTGGCACGAATCAAATGAAATTATCTACGGACACGACTCTGCCATGCGGTAATACCACCTTTTTATAGACCATTATGTAATTATGAGCTCTTCGCTCACTTTGCCCTGCTAATTTTTTATGCACATTTGACTTTAATTGGAACATTTTAAATGAATAAAAGATTGGACGGAAGTTAAAGAGAAGCTTTTTGCAAGCGGGACTATAGAAAGCTTTCTACTGCGTTTGAAAATTTATTGTCACTTTCGAAGGTATTGTACTTGATTGCAAGTGAATGGATAACAGTGATTCCATTATGTTCTATATAATTAGAAATTATAATAATATTACGAGATATATTCGAAACAGTATGTGTTTGAACAATTATAAGTGGAAATTAGACAGATAAAAATAAATCAAATAAGAGTATCTTTAAATTTTTCGTCGATGCAAATCGTGGTGCTTAATAATATTCATATGTAGATTACAAATATCTACGTTTTTCTATATAAATTGCGCGATTTGATTTGCTGGATTTGAAACGTAATCGTAAACTGAAACTGAAAGTAACATTACAAATTATATTCAACGTCAACTTAATAATCATACTAATAACCATCTTAAAACACTGCAAAGAACTTATTATAAAAAATGTCATCTCAGCTAGAGTTTGAACTTCCGACTTTCCGAAACGGACGTCTTATTAATTTGATCACCGAGGTATGTGGAGATATTTGTCACGATAATTACAGCGAGAAGAGAACGTTTGTTTTTTCAAAGAAATATATATACACAATTGTAAGTGGAAAGAATAGAAATAAGAATAAATCAAATAAGAAAAAAAAATCCTATTTTTGCTCTAAGCGGCTCTTGGTGCTTAAGGTATGCATTTGTATGCGTGATTACAATCTTATAGTTCCATGAATGACATACAAAATCGATCTGTTAGGATTGCTTATAGAGATCAGCGATTTTGAAAAAGAAGAATATCTCAATCCTTCGAGCACAAATTTATACGGGCAAAGAATATACTTTTTTATTATTACAGCCCGACGAGTGCTTTCCGGATGCGTATCGAATATTAGCTTCTAGTATCGGATTTCTTTATTTTGCAATGAAGTGCTATTACGATTCGCATTTACGTTGCACGTACGCGTAGTTATCTGTGTAAAAGTGCGGAAGTGATATTAAAGGAGACTAGAAAACTGCGTTGTATGTATTGCACGTACAACGTATATTCCTCGGTTAAAATTGCAGCAAACGCTTATAGTCGCCTTTTGTGTTTTGCAATAAAGTTTATATAATATTTATTGTCTATTTTATGTGAATTATAATTGTTGCAAAATTTTCATTGTGTAAGAAATTTAATTATTGATGCACGCAATAAAGAAATAAAGAGGAGAAAAAATTTAACTTGCGATTATTTTTTATAGTATTTAGGACTTGCTCAAATTTAACTAAAGTAATTACCTTATCACTGGCATTTAATAAAATC